ACCAAGCAGTGGGGAGATATTGGTTTCCAAGGAGATGACCCTAAAACGGACTTTAGAGGAATGGGCATGCTGGGCTTGACCAACCTTATGTGAGTTCATGGGCTTTATTACAAACTCCTTGTTTATAATGTTCATATAATATAATATCTGGTTCTTTTGAGCATTAACAGTAATCTGTGGACATCTTTGATATACTTAGGAACATTAGAAGGGTTGTAAATGAGGCCCATGCAGTTGGCCCATGTAGACTGGGTAGTTGTTAGTAGCTAATTTCCCATGATCTTACCCAGTTTCTTGTGAAGACATTGATTTCAACAGTTCCAGACTCCCACAGCTCTTTATACAGTAAATAAAGCACCACCTGTTTAGTTTTCAATGCACTTTCATATAGTTTCTAATTGTGTCCTCTGGTCTTGGTTTATGGTTGATTCAGAGGATGTCCAGTTGGTTGACTTTGTCAGTTATTTGAGGGTTTTGAATACTTGAATGAGATTCCCTCACAGTCTTCATTCTTCAAGTCTTAATAAGGTTTACTTCTTTCAGCCTATCTTTGTAAGATGTTCTTTAAGAAATTCCAGGATTTTACCTGGACTGTTTTTAGAGGAAAAATATATTTATTTGGTCACCAAATCTGTACACTTCTTACATCTCCCCAGTATGACAGTTTACTCTTGATATACATTTTCTTTTTTCTATCCATTCACCAGATCTTAATCCGTAGGCACATATTGCTTTGAATTTTGTGCTGTCTTCACTTAATCTTTTACAGTTACCATTAATCTCTTACAAGACAGTTAAAGTGAAAATCCAAAGGTACTTTTATCATATACCCTGTGTATCTGTTACTGTTGTTGCATTTTCAAAATAGTTATGCTTATCATTCCCTATGCCTCATTTTGACTATCAATACATATGGCATATATTAAAAGAATGTAAATCAGTCTTTGCTTTAGGTCATGCTGTGTCCAATGGTATTTCATTGATGGAATCTTTTATTTTGAACAACTAAAAAAGTGTAGTTCTTTTCCTGCTACATCCATTTTTTATATTTCTTAAATGAAATAGAGACTGTGAAAACTTAATTGAATTATAGTTTGTGAAGACAACATAATTTTTTGTGCAGGTTAATCTAATGCTGTGGTGTTGAATACATTTATTCAACTTATAAGAAATTGCCCTTTACTTCTTTGCACAATATGTGGACTTCCAAAAAGAAGCAAACCTTACAGAAAAACTACAGAAGCTAATAAGCTAATTTCTAGTTTTCTGTGCTCTAGTTACAAAACTGTTAATTAAAAACCAGCATTTCTCTAATCTGTATTCAACACAGTTAGTGCTGTCGGCTGTAATGAAAGGATTTGCATGCTCTAATTCTGTCATTCAACCAAAGGAAAAAAAACTGCTGCTTTGTCTCAGATACTGGGAAAACAGTTATTCTTCTGTGTAACTGACAGGCAATGTTATTTTTCCATTTGCATTTATTTCTCAGTTTAAAACACAATTTAGAGAAATGTGACTACCCAGTTTTTATACTTTTGCATACTGTGTATGTTGCCTTTTATACTGAATAGTAAGCACAAGTTAAAGCCACTGGCTTACGGCTTTTAGCTTTCAAAGTGCAATGAACAACCCTTGACTGAAGAGCAGCAGCACATGGGATTATTGGTAATCTAAGATCTAATATTGGTAATCTAACATCAATGTGAAAATGTCAGACTCTGGTGATATTTTCTGATTGTCCGAGTTTGATCTGTTGCCTTTGAGCTGTTAGCAATGATACTGGGCCATTTAGGAAAAGGAGAAATGATCATGTTACAGAGTATTTCAAAGGTTCACCATCTGGCTTGTACAGTTCCTTCCAAACGCTCTTTGGCTGTTCCTGGCTGAGCTATCAAACCAGTGTAGACTCTGCAGCCAGAGCAGGCAGGCAGAGCTGCAGGGCTGGTGGGGAGGAAGGTGGAAGGGTGCTGGGGAATGAATAATGGAAAAAAAAGGCTCCTACTCCCTGTGTTTGTATGCAGATGGTTAGATACTGTACCATCTGCTACCACTTTCCAAACCTACATTGTCAACCTTTTTACATTTATTCTAAGGAGAAGCAACAACAGACTACCAACCAGCATTGCTGCACTGAAATAACATTTATAGAAGTGGAAAATGTAAATGGCAGTTCCTTCATTTTATCTTCAGAATCTTGAAGATATACTTTGTGGTTCTTTGAGGCCAAAAAATCAGAGTCACCTCTATTTTTGAGGGTAGCTGTGTTTGAAAATTGGTCTAAAATTTGGGAGGGCATTCATTTTTTTCTATTTATCCATTCAGAAAGATGCTTATATCAGCTTTGTGTCATGGCACCTCAGAATCTATATATAACAACCCCAAATTGGAACCCAGTCGAATCCAAGATGCAAAAGTTGTGAGGAAGCAGAGCTTACTATGCACCTTCCTCCTACCCTGTTTCTTTCACATATTCAGTTTTGGAATGACAAGTATAAACCACTTTGGGCCATGCAAATATTGAACACTATGTGTTACACAGATTAACATCTTCTGTCCAGTATTTGACAGATGAGACAATGAAAATAACTGGTCAGATTATCATAACAGCTCATCAAATGGTAACATGGTTAATGTGTATTTGGTATGGTCTTTTTGTCAATATTTAAAGTTTTACTTTTTGATTTCAGTTTCTTTAGCGAGAATCACACTGAAGTGGCTCGACAGGTACTGTCACACTCAAACCATCCTAAACTTGGGTAAGCAGCCTAGTAATTGTTTTAAAGATCTGGTATTGTAATCTGACCTATTAAACTTCTTCAAGGTCAATGTTACTTATTCAAGGACACTTTACGTTATTGGTCAGCCATGGGGTTTGTCCTGTACTTCTTGATTACAAAATATATTGGGCACTGAAGTTACAAAAGCAAAGTAAAATTACTCTTCTTTAGCGTTTCTAATAATATTTGATTCTTTCAATAGTTATTTGTCTGGTTTTATGCTGTATCTATCTTATACTGTATCTGAATGTTTCAACTTCTTATTTGTTCTGCCCATTCAGTGGGAGGAGAGTACCATTAAACAGCAAATTATCCATTTTCCCAATTGTGATTTAGGCTTTGTGCATTTATTTAGTATTGCAGATAAGGGTATCATCTGGGGCGAATTATGAAATTGAATACCTTTACAGTTTCTTAAGCATTGGAGTATCTGAACATCATATCAACAGAGCTTGAGAAACTGGCCTAGTACGTTATCATCTGATGTTCCTTATGATTTCAACAGCTGCAGTGAAACTTTATCTAATGACTTGTGAACTTTTTTGTTAGGTATACATTTATGAATATTTGAATTTTCTTCTCAGTTGTATAAAATACTTTTATGTATATTTATCTTGCTTTTTATCAGTCCTCAAATTTTAAGGGCAACTGTGGATATGTAAATGTTTTGTTTCTGTAATACACTGTACATTAAATCATCTTGTTTATGTACTGTTTTCTGTATAAAATTGAATTAGACTGGTGAAGGACCTTAGTCATCTTACAGAATATTTTTAATAGCATACTCAATGATGAGGATTGTTATTTTATGATATTATTATTAATGAATGAAGGGTATAGAAATTCGATCATATCAGTTTTATCATGAGAACCACAGCATGTTAGAAATCAGTGTAGTCATTTTAGTGACTGGGCTTGTTTGCTAGGTCCTGTTAAAGCAAGCATTGCTAAAAAAGTTTTTTTGGTGCCACTCTCAGGCCATTATAGACATAGGATGGAGAATGAAGATTTTTGTTGAGCATTTAATTAAGAGGTCTCAGCTGAGCCTTTCTTGTTTTTTCTCTGGGTGTTTTAGCTATTCCTATGCTATAGTTGGAATAAATCTCACAGAGATGGCTTATAGTCTGCTGAATAGTGGAGCTCTGAAGCCTCATTTCTACAACGTGGTGCCTGGAAACCCACAACTAGAACACTTCCATCGGGTTTACTGTGAGTATTTCTGTACCGTGTAAAAGTACATGAATCCAGGCATTAGACCATTTTCTCTTTCTGGAAACAAGAAGGAATTTGTTAATGTTTCAGATCTGCAGTAAGCATACATATATTAAATACTAAAGGAATTAGTGTGTAAGATCTGATATGCTAATTATTAAAGCATGTTCATAGCCTTGTAGGTTTAATAAATGAAATGCAGCTGAATTAATAAAGAACACATAAAGTGTACATTAATCAGTAACATACATTTTTACGTGTTAATTTTTTATGTAAAAAATAAATAGTTGTAAAATTTACTTCTTGGGAGAATAAAGTAAATAGGTCTGTTTGTCTGTTTGACCATTTGTCACTTTTAACTGACACTTTTGAGGTAAGAATGCTTTCTTGCGCGATTAGGATTCAGATACGCTCCATTTATTTGGCTGTGAAGAGATCATTTGTAAAAACATAGAAACTTAATCCAAGGTGACAGTTATAATACAATGGGAACAAACATTTTCAGTCCAGGCTTTGCTGTATGCCAAGTATACTGTATGTCAAGTGCTGGAAAGAATGAACAAAAGGTCGACAGTAGAGGGAGTCACCTCTGGCCATTCAAAAGCAGGTCCTATGACAGGCTGGGCCTCTGCAAGACTGGGCGGGTCAATGAGAGCTGCTGCCAGAGTTGCTTAATAGAGAGGGGAGTGGCCTGATACCAGATAGCAGATCAGGTCAGGCAGATATTCCTGAAGGGAATGCTAAATACAAAAACAAAGTGGAGAAAATTAGATTTCTTTGTTTTAAATGACGCAATAAAATGTCTACTATACATCAAAGACTATACAGAAATATTATTCACGTAACTTGGTAATTTAAATTATTTCACTCTGACTTTTAAATAAATTGCAATGGTTTGCATTTCATTAGTATTGTCATAGAATAACTTTGAACTTTTACGCATGCAAGCAATTGTCCACTGCTGTATTAGTCTAGTCCTAATGTTAAAACACTGTAATGTTGAGGAGGATGGAATGTTCGACTTTTAAACTCATTACAAGTAGAAACAAATGGGTCCCATGAAGAATTGTCATTTCTTTCAAAATATTCAAGGAGTCAATTCAATTTGCAACTTTTGCAGTTAATAATACAGCATATGTGATTAAAGTATGAGATTCAGACCTACAGTTTTTATGTGCTATCTTAATCTACACTTTGCCTCTTTTCTAAGAATAAGTTCTAAGGCCAGACTGGCTTTTATTTCTGTCTGTGCACTGTTGTTTTTCTGAATGTTATAAGATTGGAGAGGGACTGTTATATGTGTATATATTCTCTTTTGCAGGTTACCTTGTCTATGAGTTTGATAAATTTTGGTTGAAGGAAGAGCCTGAAAGCATCATGGAGTTTAATCATTACAGAGAAAAGTTTCACGAAGAGGTGAAAAGACTTTTGCTGGAACCTGATGTGGCCCTTTGTTTAACCTTGGAAACTAAACAATAATAGAAACTGGTCATTTAAAACCTGATTTATAGATAACCTTTGAATAATAATTGTAAAAGCTTTGCTACCCTTTCCTTTTAATTTAAACCCCCTAAAACCTTTTTTATAACAGTATTTATATGTGCTTTAGACAAAATGTGTAGATTCAATAGACAATCATTCCAGTGTTTACACTATTTCTTGTCGAAAGTGAAGTACGAAGTTAGTGGTTATTTTAGTATTGAGCAATTTTATGAGCTTGCAGTGTTTGAAAAATAATTGGTTTTTGAACAATAAGTTGCACATGTGTTAATTGAAGATAGTAATGGTTACGTTATTAAAAATCGCTGAAGACAATTTAAAACATTTTTATGCTGGATTTCATTGTTGAAATTGTAGCACATTTTTGAGACTGTTCTATATTGCCTAGTCATAATCTTTCTCAGGAAAACTATTTATATCCATAGTAAGTTCACATTTTATATTCTGTCAGTACTGAGAATTTGTTGGTTGCCACTCCTGCAGTGTTTCATATTATTGGCCATTATCTTCAGTGTTTTCTTGCCCAGCTTTACATTTAACAGGACTAAATCTGCATGAAGTTTTACAATGTTTTAATGCCACAATAAGAATATCAATATACTTTACAAATGATGTATCATATGTCTCGTACCTCTGTAATAAATTATTTTTCACATCATTTACTGACATGCATTAAACAGACCTGATGTACTGTATTTGTCTAGACAACATACGATATACTCACAGATTCGTTCTTTTCTGAGAAAAATCCTAAAATGATCAGGCATTGTGACTTCATTGTTTGTCTAACTGATTATTGGGAACTTGTCGTGTCCCCACCATGGCTGACTTTTGCTTGTCTTCAGCCATGTGCTACAGTATAAAAATGTGCTTTACATTCAGCTCTTTTGACACTTCAGACATCAAAAGAGATTTCCGTTCTGTTCCATATTTCTGAATGGGGCTTGGAGGCTCTGTATGCTTACCTTTCCATCACTTTCACCTCTGGATGATATCCGTCCTGCTGTCCCTTCTTTTCAGAACTGTAATTTTGTACTTTTTAATCACAATTTTGTTGAGCTCATCTTCTTCTGATGTTTTTGGTTGTGAAATAAATTTTCACACACTGAGCGTGCTGCAAGCCTCCTTTTTTGAGAAATCAACCTTGCTGACAAATGTAATCTATCCTATCCTCAATCAATTTAGCTTAACGAATATAAAGTACAGTATATTCATAAACTGTCGATGTTCAAGTGGAGAGTTTTCAGTGTGCCGTTACTGCAAAGGATTTCCACACTGAGAAATAGGAAAAACCCATTGTTTTTGCTATAAGGCCTTGTTCAGATACTTTACGTGCCATTGATACTTAATTGTTTTGAGTTTTGCTCTCATTTATTTTTGCTGATATAGTTAAATAGAAATGTGAAATAATTACATTAGGTGACAGCTCTGCATTTATCCTTTAGCCTTCGACTATTTTAGTCCATTTGGCCTTCATTACATATATTAAGGAATTTTCTCTTATGTCTTGCACAATGAATATCGTTACGTATATTTCAAACATACTAAGTCTAGATCCCTATCTACCTGGTTATAACTTTGGCATGAGTTAAGCATGTCTGTATTAAATGAATGTTTGTATTCAATGTAATGCAGCTTTTTTCTTTGAAACTTCTGTTGTGTTGAGAGAAACATTTCAGCCTCTTTCACCTACAAGCCATGAGTAGATTTCAACCTAGAATAATAAGCAACCATCTCAGGCAATCAAGAAGATGCAAATATAGCCACAGACTTTTATTCTCTCTTCTTGCAAAACACCGTGTGCAATAAATGCCAAGTCATTGTGCTATGCTATACCATTCCCTTAAACTGTCATGCACCTTCTGTATGCTAGAGGGCACTCCATTGTTAGAAATGATGTGTCAGTATTGCTAGTGGAATCCAATGTTTTACAAACGGGTGACATACACAGATATAAATTTACGTTTTGGTTATTCTTTAATAAAGTAAAATGATATATTCTGTGGTCAAAATGACAGGTTTTGTGCTGTTTTGGAGTTCGACTTAACAACAACTGTAACCACAAAAGTAAAATCCAGAAGTGATTTGAATATAACATGTATAATATAAAGAAAATTTATATTAAAAAGTTATACTTTATTATAGTTTAATACAATATAAATATGGATTTTTTCCAGAAGGTCCAACAATGGTAAATATTTCATTGACACATTTTTACGTGCCATTATAAATGCTTTCATTTGTTGTGCTGTAGGCTGGATAACTCAGTGCCTAACTTTAATCTCCTGGGGTGCATTGAGCCAGCCTGCAGAAGTCAGGAATCTCTGCTCAGCTCTTAACTGCTGAAAGTTAGGAAATCAGTGTCGTATTCCATTAACCCCATTTAAGAAAATTCTGGTGCAAGTAAGATAATTTTGAAAAAGAAAGTGAAACAAAATTGGCATAAATGAGACGTTCTAGACTGATACAGTATGATTCACAGTCACACAGTATATTCTCAAAACACAGAATTGTACTTCAGCTCTGTTAAAACATATTTTACAGAAGAAAACATGTTGGGAAGCTCTATACAATAATATAAATAGAGGAGAAAACTATTTCTGACTTCCCCGGATTATTTTTTTTTATCTAGGAGTTTATGGTTCATTTCAGCCACTTGTGGCTAATTACATTTGGTTAATGCATACATTAAGATGCACTCCCGTCATTCCCTTTTTACAAAGGACTAATTACCATCGGTAATTAAATAACCAACTTCGGGCCCTGAAAGAGGGAAATTAACACAAAGGTGTAGTAATGTACTCTATCTTGGTGGTAATGAAGTACTGGGTTCTCTTTTGAATCCTGAATTCTCTTCTTTTCAAGGCACAAAATTGTATAGGATTATTGGTCCATTAGATATATATTTTTTACTAATGTAATCCTAATGGGGGATAGTGTCTTCAAAAGTGACCAGGCAGACTATGCAGCAATTTCCATAGACTGTTTGGACATCATCATTGCCCTTTTCAGCTGCTCATAGGAAACAAACATCACAACATTCCAGGAACCCAGCCTTAGGAACGAGGGAACAAATCTGAAAGAGATAATGCAATCAAATAAAAACTGTGTTTCTTCCTAGGACAACACTTTGTCTCATATAGCAAACTCAAATTATATTATCTGCAGTTTGGTTGGATCAGTGTCTCCCAAACTGAGGCTCTGGTGTCAATTGTTGTGGATGTGTCCAGGATTGCCCTGAGAAAGTAACTAAGGTACAGTTGTGTACCAGTTACTCTGTAGGAGGAAAGTTCTGTAGCTTATGGTATGAGAGGTATGAATTGTATATTAACCTGCATATGTAATCCATTTGTCTGTCAGATGACTTGGTTTGTGTGGTTGTGTATGCTTGGTGTGCTTTTGCTTTCAGTTGAAGCCAGGGCTTAAAAACCTCTGATCATCTGTCTTAGTTCTTATTAATCAAAGCCAAAACTAGAAAAGAGATCTGTGATGTGATGTACTTTTGTCTGTGTACAGTATATGAGTCATCAGCTTCCCTAACAATTGTATTTATTACCATGCAGTCAAACAATGGAATAATCTATATTTTGAGCAATGTGTTTAATTTTGCTTTTAATTAAAAACACCAAATGAAGATGGAGATGGCTGTATTTATGCTGGTACTCACCCTTTATAAAATGCTGTTGGCCCCTCCTTAGTGAGCATGGTCCAAGCACAGTTCAAAGCACTCTTGTACTGTCCTGGTGGGGAGTTCATGTACCGGGTCTTCACAACATCAACTGGGGACGCAATGACTGTGGTGCAGAACCCAGCTCCAAAAGCCGATACAAAGTGACAGGGCAGATTATCTGTAAAGAAGAAAGAAAATGTTAACTTGGAGTAGATTTCCGTCTGCTTCAAATCTAATGAAGAAAATAAGAACAAACATGCAAATAAATGGCGCAGACCGCAATATAAAAATTATAAAGATGAGCATAGCAGGCCTCTTTGATCAAAAAGGTAAGAACAGGTACAGTTTCTGAGTTTTCATTTCATCCCAAAGTTTTCATTACAGCTGCTTCAGGAACACTTGGGTGCCTTTGGAAATGTAAATTAAGGTCTCAGTAAGTGCATTTTTGTGGAAAACAAAATGTTAACAATTCGCAAGATGTATAGAAATATTCTCAGTCCACAAACAATAGAAAGAAGTATTTAGATATACAAGAGACAGAACAGAATAATATCCATTCATTTTGGAAACCCACACAAACACAAGGAGAATACTTCATGATGAAAACACCCTCGAAATTGAACCCAGGGCCCCAGTGCTTCAAGGCAGCAATGATGACCACTGCTACACCAATCCACCAACAGCATAATAATCTACAATATTTTAACATTTTAAGGAATTGTTTAGAACATTAAGCATGCTGAAAAATTTAATGCAGAATTTGTGCACTCACCTGACATCAATTGATGGTTCAGAATGGCCTCCTTAATGATGTCATAAGTTACTAGTTCTGTGCAGTTGACTAAAGCATTCCTGGTGATATTTGGTAATGTGCCTTCAAATAAAAAAACAATCTGATAAGTAAGTTTCTATAGATAGATATAAATGACCGCATTGTTTCGAAGCACTTAAGCAACATTTTCAGTTATCCTGAAAAACAGTTTGCTCAGAGATGTCTGCTAATTTGAGTTGCTTTCTTTTTTAATAAAAGTCCCTGAAGATGATACGTTTAGACCACATCTCCACTTTGTAATGTATTACTTACAGTATTATATTGATATCGTTAATAGAGCAACATGCGTCCTCTGCAGGGCTTCTTTGAATTTATTAGAATCTATTGATTGAGACAACAAAAAAATTCAAAAGTAAAAAAATCAGAAGAGTCTCCTGACCTTTCCATAGTCCTCTCAGCCCTTCCTGACGGAAGATTTGTCGGTACGCCTGCAGGGTGCCACTGTATCTCCTCTCCACACCTTTGAGGTTCATCTGGGCTTGAAACCTGACCTTCACCACATCTGTGGGCTGTGCTATCGACACTGCCATGGCCCCTGTGGTGCAGCCTGCCAGGATCCGGACGCCAATGCCAGGATCTGGGGGGAAAGATGCAAACCTGGGTCATTACAGCACTTTCCACTTAAAAGGCGACAGCAAGAGGTGAATCTAATGCTTACAATACATCCACATTAGAAGAAAATTGACATGCAGTACAGAGCTGGGTTCTTTTGAGAACAGTACGGTATGTGCTTTACCTTCAAATCATAATTGACAGTTTTCTACAGTATATGTATCTAACCCCTCACCTATTTTATAAGCTACAGATTCATTGCAGTCAATCAAATTGAATAGAATATTTTGAGTTAATGCTGTAAATCTAAAACTACCATTTTTTTTCCAAGCCTAGTTCATGCCATCAATTTTGGGAAGGACATCATGTATTACAAATGTTAATTGAAAGATTTCGGGGGTACTTTTGAATCATCTAGAGAATGGTTTTCTTAAAGGATGACTTAAATCCTGACCCTGATATTCCAAGTGAACAAGATACAGAACAAAGTATTACAGCACTTACTGTCTTTTCCAGCTGTGTAGAACTGTTTGACCGTGTCATAGAGACCAATCCGGATTGAAGCAAAGCTCATCTGCCTCTGAAGACCTGCGACAAGTCCGTTGTAGAGACTCTTTGGGCCTTCTGTTTTCACCATGGTGGCTATGGTTCCAAACACGCCTCTGTATCTGATATTTTTCACTGCGTCGGCAGCCGCTTTCTCTCCTTGGATCTGAGACACAGTAATGATTATAATACAGCCAACCACTATGAATTCATATTGAGATGTTTCCTGTGAAAACTATAGCCACTGATAGTATTGATTAACGTGTGTACCAGAAGTGGCCCAAGTAAAGTTAGCACGTTGTACTACGAGTGTCCAATTACAGATTCTAAACAGCACTCATGTTATCTGAATTTAATCATTCCAGGGAAAAACCTGTTGAAGAATAGTGAAAATCTGTTTAAGGTTTTAAACATGCTGTACTACTTTTATTTTTTGTTACAAGGCTGCACACTTACAGTACATCCATGGCTGACTGCTGTTCATTACTGAAAACACGTTCATTGACGATGTACAGTATGAGTACCTGTAATCTAACTTTGGCCGTGTCCAAGGGGAAAGTGAACAGGTCTGCTATACAGGCTGCTGTTCCGGCACTCAGGAACTTCACACCTTGCGTTGGAGGGATATCTGAGGGCTTCAATCCAACCATCTTTGGAGCTGGTACAAAGAGAAACGAAAGGTACTGAATAGAAATGACCAATGCCCTTAATTGTGTGTGAGTGTGTGAGGGGTGAGATCTTTGGAAGTCTGTCTAATCATTTTCAGATAAAGTTTCTTTAAAATAGATTTTTGTGGTGGGGTGATACCAGTACAACAACAGGTCTATTGCACCTCTAATCCCATCCCAGATTTCAGCTCACATTTATTTATAAAAGCGGAATATGGCCTCTGGGAGAGGGCAGAGGTGTGTGTCATTGGGAGCTCCAATGTGTCATTTTTATCTACATACCTGTACATCCCCCTATAACTACTGTACATAAAGCAAAGAGTCTGCTGAAGTGACACCAACCTTAAAATCAATGATAGTCAATAAATCTCCCTGCCATCTCCCGTTAGCTTGTAGGAGTGAAATACAAAAATGTCACGGTTCTTCTCATCATATCTCTATAAAATTTCGGATACTGATACATTGTGTACTCTTACATCTATAGCAAGGTATAGTCTGTACAATATTTAGATATTTTGAATTATGTAGAAAAAGAAAAAACATTAAAACGAGCAATTCTAGAAAGCTATTTGTTATTGGGGAAATGGTTTCAGTAGCAAAATCTTGCTCCGTTAGAATATTTTACGTATTTTACATTATTTCTATCAAGAACGCATTCACTGTCTCATTAACATACTGTACGTAAAAATGACTCATGCCTTTTTTTATTTAAAACCTCTGTAACACCTTTTACTAATATTGTGCATGAGTGCAAGAAACACCTTCCTCCATGTCGAAATCACAATTAATCGGAGCAGAGAACCACTGGAGAGGTTTTTAGTAAGGAATCATGATTTTAAAAATCTTCAAAAGAACTGACAAAATACACGTGTCAGAAATTGCTAACAGTTGCTGAGTAGGAATTAAATAGTACACTATTGCCTAAGTTGACCTATAATTAAATAGAGCACTTAATGAATGTTAACCATACGGATAGCAAGACTCTTATCAATAGCTTTAAATATCTTATTCAGTGAATCTTATTCAATGACTTACCCTATTATGTCCAGTGGGTTGCTGATTAAGGATTCAGGGAGCTCTTCCAATTTGTAAGAGGTCTGTAATGTCCTACGGAAATCGCCCCTTAGAGCCTGATATAAAGTGAAAGACAGATTAATTTCTTCTTTTTATACCTCTTGCCGTCTTCCAGGACATCCCCGGAGCGAGAGGCGGAGTTTACTATAAATTCAGAAGTGCCGGTCCGGTGCTCTAAACAAAGTCCACTGTGCAATTGTATAGCTTAACTCTTAACTGAAAGAGCTACAGAACTAGAACGAAACGTTTAGTCAGCAACAATGTACATGTACATTTAACTGGTTTACAGTAGTATGTCACATAATTTTGTTTGTTTCTGTAATACCTTTATCAGTTTGTAACATTTAACTTTTGTCTTTCAGGTGGCAGAGAGATGATAACTTAGGTGAAAACAGCTCTTTTCCCTGGGAGAGTAAAATATTTGCATACGTAATATTTAATGTAGCGTCTAGTATTGTGCCTATTTTCATCGTACATATGTATAACGTTTTATACAGCATGTAGGCTTCGATAAATAGTATTCACTAGTACTGTATGTGACGCCTTTCCCATCGTTTTCCTTAAGTGATCAGGGGTGTCTAACCAATTCTTCACAGTGACAGACTGGAATCAAGGGTCTTAATTTATTATTAAGGAAACTCCGGTGTATGTTAGTAGCTAAGAAAAAAGTACTAACGAAATGAACTGGTTTTATTATGATTTTTCAAAATACACTCGTTATATTCACCATCTTTTTGAAGACTGAAGGTGTTGTTAGAGGTTAGATCATATTTCACGCCAAACACAAGACGAGATGATACAGTTGATTGTAAAAGCAACGGGCCCCGTGGTCAAAGAGGGATGTTATATAAGCAATGCATTTATCCAACCTGCTCTGCAATCTATTTCATGAAAAGGACGACAATTGACGGGTTTGTAGAAGCAATTCAGTTCTATTGCTACTGTATGTGAACGCAGGTGTTATGAAGATAATTTCCTCTGTGTACGCTTGTCCTGGGGGGCGCTGTGGGCACATTTCCCCAAACTTTTTGCGAAGCTCAGAGGTTGTTAAATCCTGGAAACAAATATTTTTCCATTTGTCCTAAATTATTCTGTTTACTCTAAATAGACGGTCCAAATCTGCTACTTTTGATGAAGCAAAAAGATTAATCTGGACCTGATAGAGGTAGGAATTTATCTGGCTGGCCAAAACGTTGCTGGTGCTGCATTGACCACTTCCTCATCCCCTGGTAACTGAATCCTGGCCTGTCTTGATATTGTAACGCTTACGGCCGACAGGCACTGTGTAAGAGCCGGCTTACCAGAGCGGTGACGTCGCCGCCCTTCCCTGTGATAACAGGACTACAGCTACTGGGCTGTAGAGAGATCATTCTTAGCTCACCGGGCTGGGTCCCTGTTGAGTGACGCAGGAGTCCCGGGTTCGAGCCTCCGACGGTGGGGGGCTGATCTAATGCGGCAAGGGCGCCCGCCTGAACCCCCGTTGCGTTACAATATTGTTTCTCTGGAACTCTCGGCTGCTATGGTCCAGGATGCCTTCGGAGGGAGAGTGGAACCTTTCAGTGTTGCTCCTGATGTAGTTGAAGCTTTTTGTATTCCACTGTACTATAGGTATTTGATCATATTTTAGGGTCCAGAGGGAGACACCTGGATGTGAGTGTCCATGGTAAGCATCACCGCAGTACCCCTCTGAGCTTGTGTGAGCCATCACACAAGACATTCTTGACAGGGCGGCTTGGTATTGATACACTTTGTAATGATATTCATTATTAGGGCTGAGTGGTGGCTCTGTGGCTAAGGATCTGTGCCTGTGGCTGGAAGGTTGCAGGTTGCGGGCAGCAGAGGAATCCTACTCCGTTGGGCCCCTGAGCAAGGCCCTTAACCCCAACTGCCCCAGGGGTGCCGTATAAATGGTGGACCTGTGCTCTAACCCTACTCTCCCTGCCAGTGTGTCTCATGGAGAGCATGCTGGGGTATGTGAAAAGACAAATTCCTAATGCAAGAAATTGTATATGGCTAATAAATCTTTTCTTATTTTAATTTTTCATGTTGATAAAGGTGATGCTATCTCTGTGTGTTGATCAATGAACTGTATGAACACGAAACACTGTAATGCCTGCATTGTATCATGCTGCTCCAGCAGTAACTTTATTTTATGGTATGGAAACCAATGGAGAGTGATGATACATAGGTAGTTTTCTAAATTGGTGTTGTTTGGAGTCTATCAGAAAGATTTAGGAGAAACAGTAATCTGATGCAGGAGGTTTGCTGCCCTGTGCTTTGTAGCCTTACCAAACATCACAAGTGAGCTCCAATCAAATAACAACCAAGACACAAATTTTCACAATGAGACATTGAGAGGTTGCAAAGTAGTTGCGGTGGTTTTAGATAAATGTTTAAAAAAGAGAATTTGACTGGTTTTGCTCCAATTGAATTATATTGTTGATTCCATGAGTTCAAGCATGGACCTGCAAAAAATGTAAATTACAAGAAAATGCAATATACATTGATAGTGTCAGTGGGAATGACACTTTTACAGTATATGGGTTAAACCTGGCTTGCAATCATAAAATGGGTGTAAAAGCTTATAAGTATGCTTTGTAGGGTCACTTATTGTTATGTCAGTGTTATTTGCAAGACCTCACACTTCAGGTACATATATATAGGATATATATCAGATATCTTGCTTGAATGAACTAGATCTAGAACGTCAAGTGCTGAGTGTAACTACTTCAATGTCCAGGACACATTTGAGTCAATGATAAAAAATTTAATTCTGGGAGGAGTGATGAAGGCTATTTGAAAGAATATTCAAAAAGACTGGGCTAACACATGGTAGATGATGTTTAACAAAGAAAAGGCAGAGGATTTAAAGCTGTTACTTAAATAATGACCTAGAAATAAAATTACAAAATGAATATAATTTAGATGTTTATGCTGATGCATCATTTCCTTTCAATTTTCTAGACCACTTTGGTAGGCAGTACAAAATACTGAATGTTAGGATGCATGGGTATAAGCATTTTAATTTTATTCAAGGGGTGTTGGGAAAAATTGTACACAGCATTAATTTATAATATAATGTACAATTTCAGTCAACATAATACAAACAAATACCTCTCTGGAATTGGTCCAGAGAAGACAAACATTATAATAATAATAGTTCCTTGCACTTATATAGCACTCTTCTGGACACTCCACTCAAAATGCTTTCCAGGTAATGGGGACTCCCCTCTACCACCACCAACATGTAGCCCCATCTGAATGATGTGACAGCAGCCATAGTGCACCAGTACACTCACCACACATCAGCTATCAGTGGGGAGGAGAACAGAGTAATGAAGCCAGATTAATAAATGGGGATTATTAAGGGCCATGATTGGTAAAGGCCAGGGGAAACTTTGGACAGGACAGGGGTTAACATCCCTATACATTTCAAGAAGCACCCTGAGATTTTTTAATGACCACAGAGAGTCAGGACCTTGGTTTTACATCTCATCTGAAGGACAGCACCTTTTTTACAGTAGTGTCCCCATCACAATACTGAGGCATTAGGACCCACACAGAATGCAGGGTGAGGGCTCTCTACTGGCCCCACTAACACCTCTCCCAGCAGCAGCCTTAGTTTTTCCCAGGAGGTCCCCCATCAAGGTACTGGCGAGGCTCACACCTGCTTAATAATAATTAACTAACGACTAGCAGTGAAACAGGATCCAGAAGGCACACATGGAAAGTACATGGAAGTGCATTAAAAACTGGGAACTTTGTTTACACAAAGGATTGGATTATGGGAATACGGAATAGGTACCCAACCAAGTCATTGAAATTAATGCCCTGGCTTCTATGAAGAAATGGCAGGATCCTCAGATCAATTATCTCCTTACTACCAACATAACAAAATGTGTCCAAACGCACTCTCTTGTTTGTACCCCTTCTTATGTTCATAGGGCAGGTTCACCTTACTGACTCTGTTCTGCCTTAATCTGGTGAAAATGTGAAGATAATTTCATAATCAGTGTTTATATTAGAACAGCATGCCATAGCATAGGATTAAAACAATTTATTTTAAGACTTGAAATGTTACACTCCAATGCTATTTCTATTGGATGAGACAATGAGATTTCAGTTCCTCCTGTTATGTCAGAGTCATACACTTAGAAACTGCCTCCCTCTTAAAAAGGGAAATTTCAAATGAAATTTTGAAAAAAGCCAGGCATCACAATCAAAACATTTAAACAAGAGATACAGTAAAACACATTTTGCAACAATTTTGATACAGGACATGAAGCTAGCACCCTTCTTTAAACATTCTTGTACTTTTTCTGTAGGAAAAAAGACACAAGCTTAAAAGGCACCATTTCAGCATACAGTAGTACAAATACTGTAATGTGCTAACAAAAACATGGTCTTTTTCAAAGTTTCCTTTTGTGAGGATTATTTTGTATAAGTGCACACTGTGTTTTCACACGTTGTCTAGGTTCATGTTGGTGGTTGAAGGGCTGGCCCTAGTGCAGCCAATAAAGAAGAGAGGGTGTGAACTCTGTGGACACCCTTGGCTATTATGAAAACCAACAGGAATCTGGTCAGTTGACCTTTATTGTAACATCAGGTTCTCAGTTTTCAAGTGTGTGTAAGTGAGTGAAAATTCAGAAACAAGCAGGAGAATGGCAGGGCACCAATAATCCATGTGAAAGTGAACCTTTTCTTAAAAATTAAATTAAATCATATGTGTGCAATTAAGTCATATTTGTAAACCAGGACTATAGAAAGTTATATTCATTACAGTCTTACCAGTATTCTCCCAGGTAATGCATACAGGTAAAACAAGACATAATATACGCTGTCCCACAGTATATAATTTTATTATTTTGAAATGTGCAAGACAGACGAGTGATGATAATGAAATTGTTTGAGCAATCAGACATTTATCAAGATGTAATAACTGTAGTATTGGGGTCTTTAATATAGTACTCAGATAATGTCTGAAAAAAACACCTTCTACAGAACTTTACAGCCACTTGGCATAATAAAGTGGCACATACTTCACTCTCTACTGATACTGTATCTTACATTGTTTGTGG